CAGCAGATATTGCTAACGCTACGCCTATACATATGTATAACATATGTATAATATGTATAATAATTATCCTATTTATTTTAGTGCTGTTTCAAGGAAAAAACGTGCCAATGTTGTGTCACGAATTTTACAAAAATTCTACAGTGAAATAATTTATCGACACATATTAGCACCTAAATATATCAATGAGTTGTTGTCGACATGAATGTTATTTTTATTGGAATTAAAACAAAATATCTGATATACTGAAAAAAGAAAAATAGAAAAACTTTCCCCAAATCAATACTAATTGTTCGAAATTTTTCTCATGTAAATACCTTCTAGTAAAACACTGTCTTTATACTAGCAAGATCAAGAACAAGATAGAGCCAACAAGACCAAAACTAAAACCAGCACCGAATATACAAGACCCCTGACCAAATACGCAAGACTAAACGAAAAATTCTTACTTTCGGTGAATTTATGACTTAAACTATTTGAAGCAACATTAGTATATTTTTTCTTGGAATAAAATAGTTTTAGTATTTGAAATTTTCAGTTTGCTTTTAATACTAAATATTTACCTAATAAATAATAAACTTTCAGGGTAGTGATATTTTAAAAAGTAAACGTTAATTACTAATTCGGCTAGAAAGGCATTTCTGTACGTCATAATATTCATATAGAGATTAGGGGGTTAAACCCCATCGATTAGAAAAACTGTTTTTTTTTTTAAATTTTGATATTGAAAATAATTATAAACGTGATATTAATTTGAAAATAGAACGTATAATCCTTTTTTTTACAATTAAGTAAATGGATACAGAAAAAACTCATTAAAGGAAGCGCAACGTTAAATACAATCCCAAAATAAAGTATTTGTTAAAGAACTGTTAAAATTACCAAGCTACTTCTACTATCATTTAGCATTCTACAAATAAATTATAAAACGAAAACAAAAATAGATTTATTTAAAAAAATATTTCTGTATATAAACAAAAAATATTTAAATAAAAAATATATACTTCACATTTTCTTTTCAGAAGATTTTCTTTTCCCTGACCAAATTCTGAAATAATCAAATTAAAATAAGAAAATATACAAAAAGTAAAAAAATCGACCCTTGAATTTTATTTTAATTTTTATCTTACAGCATACAAATACGTGACTTCCTTCAAAGAGAATTTTGCAACTTATTTAAATTTTGGTTAAGTCAAAAGTAATTTATTCAGTAAAAATGTAACATTTAGTACAAATGCTCTAGCAAAACACTGCTTCACGGCTTATTATTACGTATGTTAGAGGAAATACTTATCGTCATTACAGAACACACACTTGCATACTCTGTAGTAACTAATGCCATATTTGTACGGTCATGGTCCTTTGGAAGCATGATATTGTCGTTAATAAAATTAATAGCTCATTGTTTATTTTTCGAGTTCATATTTAACAAAACTAATTAAACAAAGAACGAAGTATTGTATATCATACTTAAAATTAGAATCTGATATTACCTACCCTTGTGTGGTAATTATTACTTTGTAAAAACCGTTATTTCAATCATGTACGAAATTTTGTACATTCCGCCAACTTAAGTTCAATAGTTACCCTGTAATAATCGCAAATTCAAAATAACCCCCTCGTCACATTATCAAGCGACATTAGTAAACTACTTACAGTTTAGAAAAATAATTATAATATGACGTGATTTATTTGAAATACTTGCATTTAAAAGTTTTGCTAGTATCACGGATCAAACATTATATAAAACGATGAATGAAAGTTGCTCTCACATTGGCTTTTGAAGGTATTGGAAGCTCTAAAAAAAGGGGAAAACAGACATTCCATATATGCCTTCGAATTCTTTAACTGGAGAGAGCTCAAAAAAATTTAAAAATTCCTTGAAAATGGATAATCTAAAATATTGGATCGATATTGTTTTCCGGGTTCAATGTCATGGTCCGTGGAATTTTAAAGTTTCAAATTGATATCAGTACCTCCCAAATCACCACTTATCGTACCTTTAGCAAGGGACTACGAAATTCTATTAATTACGACAAAACAGTCCACAAAACAATATCGAATTGATATACGCCAGCTGTGTAAAACTGTAAACTACAAGATATTGTGGTGTGCTAATAAATGCCTATAGTCCAAAATACTTAGAAAACGATTCGAAAAACTTCATTAGATGAACCCAAAGTTAAAGAAACTATGGATTCCATTTCTTTCTCTTATTACAATGTGTAAAACATCGATATATCACATCAATAAAATTATTTGGAACCCTATTTTGACTCTGATCTTTCACGCTAAGCAAATTATTTTGGAATCAGTGTCTTTTTTCCAATGAAGCGGATGACACAAGCAAATAAGAAAGCATATTATAGAAGAATTATTTGTTAAAATATAACATAAAGATACAAAAACTACATCTCAATCACTTCAAACAGAAAAATATGAATCATACTTAATTTTCGCAGTGGTGATATAGTACAAACACTACTATTAGTCTAGAAAAACTCTTATATTTAAAAAATGAGCAAATGCTAAATTATTAGAATAAAGTATTTTGAAAATACATCTTTCCAATATTAACGCATTCCAAGCTTACCTACTTTTACTAAACATTTCGTAGTTTTTCTTGTAACAGGTAGATTTTCCGTACATATTTTATGACATTTTGTATCTAGCTATTAACCATTAAATTATGTAGTAGCATGTACTATTACGTACGTATGATGTAAGTAAGATTAACTATTCAATTAAGCAAAGCTTTCCTTGTTATTATGTAACGCGATGAAATAAAATCATAACAACTCCAAAGCAGTAAACGGTACGAAATTAAAAAGCCTATAACGTATTTGTACATGTCCACCTTCTTCTAAAATTGGGTTATTTGGTTACTTACGCAGCCTTCCAAGACGTACTACCGGCAGGCACTGTTTACCGTTATCGTTTAAAGAACGAAGAGACGGCTCATTGCGTATTAACAATAACGTTGTCGACCGGAAATTCAGGTGTTAAACCAATGCGAACGCCTTTTTTTTGTTTCTTTTGTTTTTGTCTCATCTATAAGATAACGTATATAAAAAAAAACTCTGATTTATACGTAAATATGTAGCGTGAGTATTCTAATATTTGTGTTTTTTTTTTTATTTTAAATATTTTTTCTTTTTGCTAAATTATAATAGCCATAAAATATAATAAACTTTCAGGGTAGTG